TTGTCCTCGCCCGCCACCGATGCCCGTTGTCCTCTTGCCCGCCGGACTGCATGTTTAATCCAAATTACTAAAATACACACACAAGGACGTGGACGTGAACGTGAACGTGGACGAGGACGACGACGAGGACAGTTCTTTTGTTTGTTCCAGTCCAAGTCCTGGCCATGTGTGTGTGTGTGGGCGTGGCCAGGACGTAGCTCTCCGTCTTGTCCAGCCTTGTTTGCTGTGTTTTAATGAATCTATGAGTCGGCCGTTCTGTGTGCGGTGTTAATTGAGCCAAAGTCAAACATTCTGTCTAACCCCCCATCAGCCGCATTTTCCGCTGCCAACCAAGCCTCACCCCCCGCTGCTGCCTGGTTCAATTAGTGCGAGCGAGGAGGAGGCATTCCCTGTATATTTCTTGTTTTTCTTATCCTTTTTTTTTTTTTTTTGGTTTCGGTTTGATTTTCCCTTGCGTGCTCCGGTTTCGCTGTGTGTTAATTTGATTTTATGAAAATAGCTGCAAGAAAATGCCAAAAGGAAATGATTTCAGGTGTGGAAAAGGGGGAAAAGAGCTTAAATAGAAAGGAAATGCAGGTACATTTTGCAGCTGATACTAAAGCTTAACTCTCTAATTCAGTTTTCCACTCATTTTCCCAACACTAGAAGACTTTCCGGTGGCCAGAATTTTAGCCCAGAACTAAGAAGCTTATCTTCCCTAAAAAAGATATTGATTTCCTAAAGGCATTAGGCTGACTTATGGCCCGCGGTGCGTACAACGGTGCGTATGATTGACGAAAGGCGTCGAAATTTGGATACTCCGTCACACACACACACACACACACACACATAAAAGGGAAAGCATAAAGAAGAAAGTAAGAAAGAAAGTGGGAGGTAAATGGAGGCAGCAGGCTAAGGAATAACAAGGAACAGACAACAATTGACAGCCACCATCTTGTTTGGCAAATAAACGCGAGCCATTACCACGAAACTAAAATGCTGTCTCAATAATAATATTATTATTATTATTATCGTTTCTATCGTCTCCTGTTTTATGGTTCTCCTTGTTATTTTTCCTCGAGTCCTTCAGGTCCTTGTGCCTCTGCCTTCGCTTCTGCCTTTTTTTTATGCGACACTCGTGTTTGACTGTCAAATATTTCAACAGCCCCGAAAGTGACAGCTGTTAATGGCATTATACATTTGTGCGGTGGCCACGCCCCCATGCCTCCCCCTTCTAACCACCTCTCCAGGTGAAGTCCATCATCCTGGCCAGCCCAGCTTCCTGGTTTTCCTTTCTGCCCGCCCCTCCTTAGCCCCCCGCAACAATTTGCATTTTACGAGCTAACCAAGCGGCTGATTTGAAAACTTTCGAGCTGCCAATTTCGATTCGAATTCGGCGTCAGCTGCTAATTCCTTCGATTACGAACTGTTTTACGAGTGCCAGTGGCAGTGCCAGTGTTGGCCCATCAATCAGGCGGCCATATCCATCAAGGGGTAAGCTTTAATTCGGGCGAAACTTTAATTCGATAAATCAATCTTTGGGGCTGGGCAATCAATTAGGCGGCAAAACAATTTCTGTGTCTGTGCCATTATTGATGCGTTCATGAAAATAAATAATATGTATTATACACATAACTGAATAAGACAACTAGACCTGGAGTTAGGGATTGACCTTGTCGAGAGGTGGGTTACCCGAAAGCTTGAAGCTTGAAGACTTAAGTAAGTTAAATAAATATTAAAATATTATTTTACTGCATAAATATCTTATCTTTATTTCATAACCCATTTATATATGATAATAAAAATAGTCCCCTGCTTAAGGTATTAAAAATCCATATTTTTTCTTTTTACTTTAAAAAAGCCTTAAAAATAAAGGGAGTAAAATAAATATTGAATAATATTTAAACCCCATAAATTATGCCCATTTTCCACCTATGGACTTATAACACTACCTTTATGACACCCTTTGTCAGTATAACAGTTATGACAGAGCTGATATTATTATCACAATAATAGAAATTGAAATAAAACTGTACTTTTTCAAGGATTATGACCTGACCCGATGCCTTTCATCGATCCAAATTTGGTAATAAAAGTGTCCCCTCGCTTCGTTTATTTTTCTCTCTCGCTTCTGTTTTTTTTTTTGTGAACTTTGTTTGGCCATAAATTAACATTAATTTCGCTTTTTGTTTGACCTGTCTGTGTGTGTGTGTGTGTGTTTGCGTGTGCATCGTAAAAAGGCAATTATAAAAATTAATGTAATCGATGGGCAGTTGAGATACTAATTGGACTACAGTCCCGGCAATTGCCGTTGATAATCCTGTGTTCTTTTTGATGAACTCCATTTAATAGATTGGCTGGCAAAAGGCGAATCTTTAACCCTTTGGTGGATCCTAGATTCGGAATATTACTCAATATATTTCATACGAAAGTCCTGCCGATTATCCTTTCGCTTGATTGACTCTTTAAAGACACAAAGGAAAAGGACTAATTGCTCGAATTGAGTCAAGTGCTGAAGCTGCTTTCTTTTCGTAGCTCACACTCAAAATTAATTAGTGAGTCCTGGCAGGACATCCAGCGGCAGCGACAGCGACAGCCACTTGGCGTAAATCCTTTCCAACAACGCGCCGATTGCGCTTAATTGAAGGGCCATGTGGCATGTCCTTACGAGAGAGAGAGGGAGACCACTCAAGGGTCCTTAATAAACTGATTAAAATTCGCATGCAAATTGTTCAATTCTTCTTTCTCCCCATGAAATGTCTCTCTGTTTGATCTTTCGGTAAATTAAGACCCAAAATGGAGACAACTTTGAGCTTAATTATAAGGATTCTTCTCAGCCAGGGAAATCTTTTATTGAAAATGCAGGAGCTTAGCTAGGTTGCAATTGAACTCTGACCTCGAATGCCGCCCGTGGTCTGAATCAATAAATTTTGCATTTCAATGCGCCCAAGTTGTTCGCGAAGTCTCAACTTGTTGCACTGCCGCTGGCGGGGGAAAAATGGCAAATGGGAAAATGGAAAACGGGCAAACGGATACTATATAGCTGAAGAATAATGGGCGAAACGGGAGAGGCGGCCCTGACTCTGCGACTTGGCCCACTCGATTCGTCTTTCATTTCATTCATAAGCCAGAGATAGAGCGAGAGAGTGTATCTCACGGATACACAGATACGCAGATACACAGATACTTCCCAACCGACAAACGCACACATGGACAGCTGGCAGCCGTTGCACTTTCCATTTTCATTCATTAAAAGCCCCCATTCCGAGAACAAGACTTGTGGCTTTTGGCACATATTTCTCCAGATGGTCCTCCTTGGAGATCCTAATTAATATAGCTCATAAAAATATATGTTCGCTTTAAGTCAGAAACAACTAGACGAATATCGCTAAAATTCTTGAGACTTTACCCTACATTCAGGCTAGAGCCCGTTAGGAATTATATATATATTTTTTTTTTGCAATAAACCTAATATAAACTTTTACGACTTTATGAGACTGTTTAATTTGGTAAATAAACATTTTGGTCGACTGCCTTAAAAAAGGCTTTAAAAAATTGAGTATAATAAATATCACAAAATATTTTAACCCCCCCCACAAAAAAAAAAAAAACATTAAGATTAAAACTTATAAAATATAATAAATTATGATTTTATATGGCGTTATGACACTGCATGAAAATACTGTATTAAAATAAAGAATTAAATAAGTTATACAAATATTAAATAATATCAAATCCCATAGAGTATTCCCTCTTTGGCTTCATATTTGCACATGCAACAAGTAAATCCCTTTAAGAACTTTGCCATTTTCTTTGAGCTATTCTTTAGATATATATTATATATATATATATATTCAGATATATAAATATTTGTAGAAATTTACACAGACCGCTGCGACTGCGATTGCTGCTGCTGCTGGCGCTGCTGCTTGACGGCTGGCGGCGACCGCTGCGCAGCGGCGGGGCAGCAACGCCGCCGTCGCTGCCAACGTCGACGTACTCGGCCACGTTGCTGCCTCTTCTGGTTCTTGTTGCTGTTGTTGTTCTTGCTTTTGTTTATGTGGCAAGGATAATGCGCTGCTGGCACACGGAGGCTGCTGCTGGTCGCTCAGCTTAGTTGCAACTTTTAAGTCCAACTCACTCACAAAAATACAAACAAACAACAACAAAAAAAAATATACAAAAAAAAAGGACGAAGTTTTCGGATTCAGGAAAAATATACACACACCGACGCGAACACGTACGCACACACACACACACGCAGCAACTTATGCGCACTGGGAGAAAAAAGCGCCAGCTTGCTGTGGCATCGCTCACTCTCCGATTTTTCTGCGTGTATTTCGCAGAGTTCCTCGCTTCTTTTTTCTATTTCTATGTCTCTATGTCCTTTTGTTTTTCCGCCGGTTTTTTCTTCGCTATTTTTTCTCTTTTTGTTTCCGTTGGAGTCCTGCGTCCTTTGGCGCTTGTGGCACGTCTGCGTCTGCAACACCGACTGATGGCGCTGCCTCGAGTCGAGTTCGTGGAGTGGACAGGACCGCGAGTGGACAGCCCAAGTGGAGGGCACAGCTGATCCTATTAGCAGTCAGCTGGGCGCAGCTTTTGGGGCAACCACAGGGCAGGGGGGGAAAGCGGAAACAACAAAAGCGGAAAAGCACTAAGCTTGGCAGGGCAAAGCTTTTCGGCGAAAGCTTGGCAAAGCAGGTTGGCAGGACTCGAATATATTCAAAAGGGGAAAGTACAGAAGGTATCCTTTTTACAATTTGTTTCTTTTTCTTTGTAAAATTAATAAGGTTTTTCAGATTTTGTGTAAATTTTTATAGTTGAAAAAAGGAAATATCTTTCTAAAATTATTTTAAAAATCCCTTAAAATCTTTATTGGTTTTTAAATTAGGGCTGAGCATCGTAATATCGACCGATCCTATCCCAGAATAACCTCTTTGTATTAATAATATCATATTACCTTCTTCTATTAACTTCTTCTTTTTACTATCCAATCAAAGAACTTAAATTCTATGACTCACCTGTCTGGGTGCTGGAGTCAAAGAAAGTGCTAGTGGTTTCCACGGTCATGGTGCCAATGGTGCCGTCTATGATCTGGGCCGAGGAGTCGCGTCTGCCACGATAGCTGCGGTTAAGGATAAAAGATTGTCATTAGAATATTTTGAGTATTTTTATAACCTTATAACCTTTCTTTATATTTTATATCCTATGTGCACACTCACCGACAGACATCGTCGCTCTGGGAGCTCTGACGCCGAAAATTCCGGCAACGGATCATCTCCTCGGTGGTCGACTGCCGCCGGAAGCCGCGAGCTATCAGAATCTCCTCGGTGGTGGACTGACGCCTTATGGCCGGCCGCTGATTCTGCTCGGAGACGGTGGACACCTGCGGCCCGGGCCGCGAGCAGGGACTGGGATCCCGCGAGGAGCAGCAGCTGTTGGAGTCCGGCGACCTGGGCGACCTACCCGCCGCTGAGCTGCTTTGCCTGCGGAGCGTGTGCCTCCGCGGACTGCCATCCCGCTCGTGCGATCTGTCCGGCGACAAGTGAGTCCTCGAGTCCCGGCGACCGCCGCGCGAGGCACTGTCCGGTGATAGAGAGTCCCTTCGCGATGTCCTTCGCTCACAGTCCTGGTCCGGCGGATCCGGACTTAAAGCCGGCTGCGAGCCACGACGGCTGCCGCCGCCGCCTCCGGGAAGACAGCCCTCATCGAAGGCAGTGGCCTGACGTTGAAGACGCTGCAGGCGCGGCGCTCGCTCTGGACTAACCCCAGCCTTGGAGTCACGACGATTGACCCTTCCGCACTGCGTCTGGGAGTCACGACGTCCCTTGGGGGCCGTAGGGCTGGTGGCCGGCGGCGTCACCGAGCTGGTGATGATCGTCGGCGGCGGCAGGGCCTGGCAGGCGGTGTCCACCTGCTGGTGGTGGGCCAGGTGGTGAGTGCTCGAGTGCTGCGATAATAGGGGCTGGGAGTGATCCGAGCAGGAGCCTGCGGAGCTGGTGCTGGGCCGCTGCTCCTGCCGGAAGTTGGGGAACTCCGGGGCGGCTAGCGAGTCGCGCTTCTTGGCCATTTGATACTTGCCCGGCGGTGGGGGTGTTGTCACCCGTCCGGCCACATTGCTGTCCCGCCGACTGCCGGACAGGTAGCTCTCACCGGACCCGCGACGGGAGGCCTGATGGATCATTGGAGGTCGGAGGAGGTCGGACAGGCAGGCAGGTCGGTTGAGGTTTTCAAGGAAGACACAGAGAGAGAAGAGCGCCAAGGATTAGGGCTTTCTGGCTGGCTGGCTGGCTCTCAGGGAGTTGGTTTAGGTTCCCCCTTGTCCCGATCCCCGATACTCACGCTCTTGCTGCACTCGATGACCACGGGCACGACCACGCCACAGTTGCTCGATCCCGGTTGATCCTCAACTGCTCCACTCTCGCGACGATTCCAGTGACGCACAAACTCCGCCGTGTTGGATTCGCGACGCGAACGCATGCTCCTGATGCCCGAATCGGCGCTGGACTCGCGACGCTTGCGCGGTGCCATGTAGGTGGTAACGGAGCCACTGCCTCCTCCGCCAGCTCCGGTGCTGGCATCGGTGGTGGTAGAGGTTCGCCAGGGCAGGCTCCTGGCCAGATCGGCCAGCGTCTCGCGGCGATTGAGCTGCGCCTTGGAACGCGACTGGGACTGGGACTGTTGCGTCTGCTGCTGGTGGTGATGCTGCTGCTGCTGCTTGCTGGCGCCGCCGCCGCTCCACTCGCGCAGAATGTCCGTCAGCTGGGCAAGGGAGCTGCGCCGGCGGCGTTGGAGTCCCGGCGGAGGCGAGGTGCTCGGCGGGGTTGTGATCTGGGCCGCCGAGTCGCGTCTGCCGCCCAAACGCTGACGGATGGTGGACTCCTCCAGCTGCAAGAGGAGTGGTGTTACTTATTTATTGAAAGACATTTTCAAGGGTCTCTAAATGTTAATTTATATTTATTAATTTTTTTTTTAACAACGTGTTTTGGCATTTTGTAAACTGTTTGTACACTGTTTTTCCACTACTATCTTAACGCTGTTTTCTTACTGTTCTTTGTACTATTTTAAATCAAAACCCACCTGTTCGCGCACAAGATCGTCCCAGCCGTTGCCGCCCTGCCACACCAAGCCCACCTGGTGCGACATGATAGGCAGGTTGCACACGAAGCAAATGGCTGTCATAGTCCTGCAACGATACAAGGTCCTGATTAGTTGGGTTCCAAATAAACTTTTCAAATATTTACTGTATCTTTTTTTTTATTTTTCATGCAGAAAACAGAGACGTGAAAATATGAAAAATAGAAAATTGAAAAGTAGAAACATGGCTCTTAGAAAAATTCAGGGAAAAATTGGGAAAACTTGTAGAAGATAGGACAGAGTCATGCGGCGAAGAAAGTCAGAATGTTATTTTTGGTTTCCGTTTGGCTGGAAAGCGCCAGCGAGGCAGGAGCTTTTCCTCACCAACAGCGATGGGCATGCAAAAAGTCCAAGAGGCTCAAAGTTTTCACAGAGAAAAAGCAGTCATGCAGTGGTAAGCTTTCAGGATGCGAAAGCTCAGCGAAAAGTGTCCTGGATGCAGAGTGTAAAATTACACATAGATTGTGTAAATATGGGTACAATCTGTTTGTTATTTGAATTTGTTTTCTTTTAAGTAAGTTTACTTTAGATTTTTTTAAAGATTTAACTTGTTTAAAAAAAGCAATACGAAATAGTAACATAATATATATCAATATATATCGATCTTGTATATATATTATATTCTAGATATGATATCGAATTATTATAATTGGTAAAGAGAACCAAATAAATGAAATGACATTATTCAGATATTCTTCAAAGAAATCGATATTTTAGCCTTAAAATCAATATTTTTCGATATTTAATAATGCAATAGATCAAATTTAACGTTATTTTCGATATGATAGAGTACTTTTCCTTCCTCTAGAGTAGAGTAGAGCAGAGTTGACAGGTGGAAAGTGTAAAAAGTATAGAAAGTATGTCTGTGGCTAGGGCATTCGCTGGCTGAGGGTGGACGGTGAAAGGCTTTCGATGTGTGTATGCGGTATGCGGTTATTGAGGTTATCGGTAAGTGGTTGGTGGGCTTGCTAACTTTTTGCGTATGACCACGCAGGTGCTGCTGGGCTGATCCATGGACCTGTAATGCCGCAGTTTTGACATGGCGCATGTTCTTCTGGCTTCTGTGGCAGCGCCCGCCGATCCTTGAGGTGAGCGGTATCCTTTGGCCGCCGCTCCTGCGGCTCCTGTGGCTCCCTCGTCTGCCTCCTGTGCGCCCTACGCTCTTAGCATTTCTATTTTATATTTATATATACCATATATATATACATATATATATATATACTTTTTTTTTTTTTTTTTGGCAGGGCAGGTTTAATGCGGGGGTTTGGTTTTTTTTTTGGGGGGTTACTGGGTGGGGTAACTGATTGATTGATTGATTGGTTTTGCTACACACACACAGAGACACAGAGATACACTGGAAAAAACGAAGAAAATAGTTGTTGTTTTTTTTTGTGGTTTTATAAAAATATATCGGATGGGGGGATTCACAATAATGGGCTCCGGCTGAGAATTGGGGGAAGGGACTTACTAATGGCTGTGGGCTCAAACTACTGATTAATTACCGGGTTTCGGGGGGGGGTCTATATATACTAGATTATCAATTAACCAACTCGTCAATATCTCTTTTAAATTGTATATTTATATATGTAATATTAAGTCAACACAAAAGTAAATAACTGAGAAATAATTATCAATAATAATCATGCCAAGTTAAATGATTATAATTAGCTAATAATAATAATAAATTGTGCGCTTAAATATATATTTCCTGTGTTTTTTAAATCCCCCAGTCTTGCTTCTTATTGATATATCCTTAATATTCATCTAACATTTTCCTCTAAATTATATATAGAGTATACAAAATCACCTTAACTTGGCCTCCCCAAAAAATTATAATATTATAAAAATATCGAAAATATATTTATTTATATTTATTAACTTGCACTTTTCATAAGAAAAAAGTAAAGCATTCCATATAGAAATTAATGTTTATTTTAGTTAAAGTGAAGTTTAACTTTAAATCCAAAAAAGTATTTATAGTATTATAAATATATCGATAAAAAATCGATTTAAAGCCTCTTTAAGGCGCCAATTTGCAATTGTCTATTGAGTAAAAAATGTTAATATACCTTCACTGCCCAGAGAGAAACAAAGAAATATAAATAAATAAACAGAATTTAATTCCGGAGAAAACATTCTTGTCAGACAGAGTTACCATACACCATTTCTCGGAAGCTTCTACCCCTCAAATAATTCGATACTCATAAGTTACAGCTTGTTGTCGTTTTTGGCTTGTTAATAATGCACAAATAATTCAATTTAATTTTTTCAGAGAATGTTTGCCCATTGAATTGCGGTGGGGCAATAGAATACACTGTGAGAATATGGGTGAGCTTAAATAAATTATATATATTTATTATATTTATTTAATAATTTAATTTGAGACCAATTTATTATAATATCTTTATTTTAATTTTAAATGCAAAATTTTTGCTGACATTATTAACATATATATTTTATATTTTTCTCCCCATAATCCTTTGGAAATTTTCCCTTTAATGTATATTCCCCACACAGCCCAGGCTCATCCTCACGAATTTGTATTTCAGATTGTTCTAGACTGACCTGTGGTCTCTAGGATTTTATAATGAGTTCAGGTCTCTCAGAAAGACCTCAATTCGCGTTCAATTCAAACTTAAAAAATGGACTCTCCCTGTATTTTTGTTCAAGTGTACTTCAGACCTGGTGCACTCAAGCCAGATGACCAACAAGTGGAAGGGGAAAAGGAGGCTGTTGGCCCAGAATTCTAGATGAATTAATGCTGGGACTGCGACGAGGCAATCAAAATGGGGCATCAACTTATTTGGCCGCAAGTTTAGGGCCATAAACTTAATAACTGCCAGACGGTTGTGAGTTGCATGAGGGAGGGGTGTGCGTGTGTGTGGGTACCGGAAGTTGTTGTGGCAGCTTCATAAAAGTTGCCCTCCGAGTTTCTCGAGTGGAAAATACTTGTCCAAAGTGTGTGCCAAAGTTCCCCCAAAGGACACACAGTCATACAGTTTGCAGTGCGAGAGTATTGAATGGACATGAAAATGGCAATGGCCAATGGAAACAAGAGGAGGGCAATTTTCTTCATGGCCATCTTGGACATTCGCTCGGCATACAGGTACGGAGAGTCCTGTCCTGGAAAATGGCAATTATGCCAGCCATTCGAATGCAATTTCTGCAATGTGCAGTCTGTGTGTTTATGTTTGACATTCGAGCTCAAAGGATTTCATTTTCGGCTTACAAATCAATAGTCATTTCGGGTGCTGTTGGCGTCCTTTTACTCATAATTTCTCATTGTCAGATTTAAGGACGAACTTGGTGGAAAGACAACAGCCAGAGCTTAATCAATTTCAAGTGCAGGAACAGCAGCTGGCAGCAGGAATCACCATCATCATCATCAACAGCAGCAGGAAAGCGGCAAAGCAATGTCCGCCAGGACAGGAAAAATGGTGGCTCCTGGCGACCAGTTGATTGACAGCTGTCAATTTGCGTTGCCTGTGAAGTGCCATGAACAATTTTCAACTCAATTTTGCCACTCCTCCTCCTCCTCCGCTTCGATGCCCATTCTCATTCCCATTCCCATTTCCCAGTTGGAGTCCAGTTTTGCGGCTAAGCCGTAGCAGCTGGACCCAAACACGACCGGAGCGAGGATTGTCTTCCGCCCTGACGACCTTCCAATCATCGAACAGGGCTAGCTTAAAGAGATATCGTCACCTGCCACCTGCCACCTGGCACCTGGCACCGGGCACCACTTTGGCACCAGCTTCCGTCTTTAGCAGATGCAATTTTCCTGCCAAAGTTCCCGGGGAAAAATCCATATGAAAGTTACCGACACACACGCACTCACACTTTGGGCTAATTAAAAGTTTGTCTAGTGCGGTCATGGGTCTTGGCCAAATCCACATTTTGACCACAATCCACACAAAAAAAGGTAAATGCTGCACTTTGGCACTATTAATATCGATGGCAAAGCGCTTCGAATATTGAAAAACCATATTCAAAGTCACTCAACACCAAAAATAACAGAGCATTTGGGTATTTGATTTTGGGAACTATTGGGTTTCTTTGAAATTTATGACACTAGACAGCATTAAAGATATCTAACATATTATAAGGATTAAGAAAAAATATTTATATAATTTTATATTCATAAATTTAAATATTTATATATTTTCTTTAATATTAAATACGTATGGTTTTCAATATTTAAAAAAATATAAAAACAGTAATGATTTATTTATTAATTAAGCTTGTTCATGAGCTAACCAATTTATTAAATCAACGCTGCGTATGCGCTATATTTTTTGTATACCCAAAACACGTATACGCAGTGTTATCTTTTAATAAAACACACTTAATATTATATAAATATATATATATATAAAATGTATATAAATAAAATAAATATGTATAAATATAAATATATATAAATATAAACATATATATAAATATAAATATAAATATATATATATAAAAATAAAAACATTTTAAAGTTTATATATAATATTGTAAGCCTTCAAAAAATAAGATATATATATATTATTCTTATATTAGAAGTGTAGTAACAGTATAATGTCATACTTTTTATACCCTTGCAGGGCATTATAATTTCAGTCTGAAGTTTGCAACGCAGTGAAGGAGACGTTTCCGACCCTATAAAGTATATATATTCTTTATCAGCATCAACAGGGAAATCTTTCTAGATATGTTAGGAAGAAATCGATTTTTTGGCCATTTTTGCAAAGTTTTATAAGGGGTTACATCATTAAAATTTTTGATTTTGATAAAAAATTGAATTTTCAAAATTTTTAAATGAAGTATGCAGATTTATTAACTGTAGAAAATCTTGCACGGAACAGTTTTCCGATTTAAAATTAATGCTATTTTGGCCGAGTTATGATATTTTTAATTTAAAAAAAAATCAAGAAGTTTTTTAATATAAAAAATCCGATTTTACAATACAAAATAATATTTTTCTAAGTCAAGGAATCATTTCCGACCCTATAAACCATATATATTCTTGATCAGCATTAACATGCGAATCTTTCTAGACATGTCCGG